GGGCAGGGTGGCAGGAGGGGTCTCCCCCATGTCCCCTTTCTCTTGGTCTTGTGCTGCTCTGGTCAGGGGAGCAGGGCATGATACGTGGGGCTGCACGGGGTCACCTGTGCTCAGGGTCCCTTGGGGTGCTGCCACGTGGCCAGACCCCTATGTGTGCCCCGCAGAGATGGCCTTCCAGCGCAGCCACAGGCTGAACCTGCTGCGCCTCGTCGTGCTGCTCCTCGTGGCCTTGGCCGGCATCAAGTTCCTCTTCCGCGACAGGTGAGGTGACAGCAGGACCCCAGGTGGGGGTGGGGGCCCCAGTGGGTCTGCGGGAATCCCTTGGGTCACGTCCGCGTGGAGGCCTGATGCTGGGGGGTAGCTTGTGCCCCCATGCCCCCCATGGCACCCCCAGCCCTGCTCCACTCCCTGCAGCTTTACCCTGGAGCTGCACAAGCACGTCAGCAAGGACAGCGGGTTCTGGGGGGACGTGGGTGACACCATCCAGGACACCGGTCCCCAGAGCCAAGTTGTGAAGCTCCCCATGGCAAAGATAACGGCCCCGAGGGAAGAGCTGGGGCAGCAGGTCCCCAGGGATGTCAGCACCACCGAGATGAGGCTGGTCCACCTGGACCTCAAGGGAGCTGCACCCAGGGTCTCCTACCTGGAGCAGGTGAGGATGCCCGGGGACCGGTGGAAGGTGCCGAGGGGGCAGAGGCAGAGCCAGGCTCGACCTGCCGGCTGTCCCCACTGTGCCCCGGGGACTGTGCCATCCCCACCGGCTGAGCCCACCCTGCCTGCCCCACAGGTGTTCCCCCTCCTGTCCCAGCTGGGAGCCAACGGCATCCTCATCGAGTACGAGGACATGTTCCCCTTCCAGGGGGAGCTGGAAATCCTCAAGTCCCCGTACGCTTACAGGTGAGCCGGGGCTGCGTGCTGAGCTGGCCGGGGGCTGCCGACTCGGTGCGGCCCTGGCAGGTCCTGGTGTGCCGGAGGCTGGGTGTGACCCGCCTGGACCCGTGCCCATGATAACCGTGGTCGAAGCGCTGGGCTGTGCCACCAGCAGACCAGCTTCCCGCCCCGCCGGGTCAATATTTGTGTCCCCATAGTAAAGTCCACACAGGGATGGGGTGGCCAGGGCTACACGGGCAGGGTGCCGGAGGAGGAGAAGGAGGAGGAGGAGGAGGAGGAGGGAGTGCCCTCCCACTCTGCCCTCTGCCCCGGCATCCCCTGGTGAGCCTGTCCCTGCCCTCCCAGTGAGGAGGACATTGAGCGGATCCAGCAGCTGGCGGAGCTCAACAAGCTGGAGGTGGTTCCCCTGGTGCAGACCTTTGGGCACGTGGAGGTAGGGGGTCCCAGTTCTGCTCCTCATCCCGCGTCCCTTTGGCCCATGGCCTGGAAAGCCCCTCTGATGTCTCTTCCTGCACAGTTCATCCTCAAGCACGAGAAATACCAGCACCTGCGGGAGGTCGAGCGCTTCCCCAACAGCTTCAACCCCCACGTCCCCGAAACCCTGGCCCTGCTCAAGAGCATCTTGTCACAGGTGATCGAGAAGCACAGGGGCTCCACCTGGATCCACATCGGCGCAGATGAGGTGGGCAATGGGTCATGCAGGGACCCCAGCCCTCACCCCAAGCACCGGGTGTGCTCCCAGGGGTGCTGAGCATGTCCCTTCCCCCCCACCCCCATCCAGGTCTTCCATCTCGGGGAGGGGATGGACTCCAAGAACTGGATGAGCCGCAACAAGGGCGACACGGGGACCATGTACCTGAAGCACATCAAGGAGGTGCTGGGCTTCATTGCCACGCAGTACAGAGGGCTGCGGGCCCTCATGTGGGACGACATGCTGAGGAAGATCAGCGTGGGAGCCCTGCGGGGTGAGAGGATGGGGACGGCAGCGGTGGCACCTGAGGCCACCCTGGCAGGAGTCGTGCCCTGTGCCCAGCAGGAGCCCATACCTGGCCCTGTGAGGACACAGGTCTTGGGGGAGCATGAGGAACCCCAGGCAGCCTATTGCCGCTGGCACTGGTGCCCACGTCCCCATCCCTGCTCCTCCCACAGAGTCCGGGATAGCGAAGCACGTCTCGCCCATGGTGTGGTTCTACGCACCCGACTTTGAGGCTGAGCAGATCGGTAAGGTGGCGTGCCAGGTTCCTGGGGCTCGCGGGGGTGACACCCCTCACCGGCCCCCCCGTGGATGGTGGCACTGGTGGCTCACGCCTGTCCCATTGCAGGGCCGTTCCTCGCCAAGTACGCGGAGAGTGGCTTCGAAGCAGTGTGGTTC